GGGCACCCACCCGGGGACCCCCACCCGGGGACCCCCACAAGGCACCGCACCAGCCCCTGCCCCCGGCCACGTTAAGGCCGAATCCTGTAACCGAGCACCGAGGGGTGACTGGTGTCTGCGGGCAGGGAGCAGGCAGGCGCGGGGCCAGGTCTGGGGACCGGAGCGGCTGGGGCGGGTGTGGGTGACAGCCCCAGGGACCCCGGACCACCCCGAGGCACCACCCGTGCTTCGTTTGGTGCCTTTTTAACTTTCTAAATGGGAAATCAGAAGCTCGGCCCGTCACCGCTCCCGTGGAAGGCGTTTCAAAGCAAGGGTGGTGATCGAGGAGGCTCCAGGTGGGACCCCTGCCATGTCTGTGGCCAACGGGCCGGGCGAGGTCTTTGGAGGCCCTGCTGGGCTGCCGCTGCTCCCCCTGCCCCTCTCCACTGCGACAGCAGAGCCCAAGGCGACCTCTCGAGTTCCGGAGACCAAACCACTCCAGTTAAGCACAAGCTCGCTGCTGGTCCAGGACGGGGCTCCTGCAGGATTCCCCGCCACGTGCTCTGTGCCCTCCCGTGACGTGGGGCTGGTCGTGCCTTCACCCGCTGCAGATGCTTGGGACAGGCAGGCGAGCAGCGTCCGTCACGTCATCGGTGGGACCGCAGGGAGAAGAGCTGCTGGGAGCAGTGGTGCCCATCCCAGGCCAGGCACTGGGCTGCATGGGTGATGCAGGGAGAAAGGCGCAGGGCCGGGGCTGCGGGGCATCTCCCTGCCTGCTCTGGCTCGGGGCTGCTCCAGGCTGAGTCCCCAGCAGCCAGGCCCATTGACATGATAATGCTATTAAACTTAAGCAATTTGAAAAACAATCAGGCAGCAGAGCCCGAAGGGGGATGCTGGAAACGCCTCCGAGGCGCTGACCTGTCCCAGGCAGGGCTCCCGCCACCCTTTGACCACCCTCTGATACTTAATCTGGATTTTTGGCAAGGAAAACTGGATTTGTGGTCAGCTGTGCCAGCTGTTGGCTACAGCCCTGCCCCTGCGGCCTGGCTCTGGCTCTCCAGCAGCCGGGGTCCTGCTCCCTGCTGATGGCCACCGGACTCCCGGCAGGCTGGGATTCCTCCAGGAGGACTGGTCCTGGGAGCAGTGTTAACAGGGCGCTTTTACTGGTTCGCAGCCTGCCTTCGCTCTGCAAAAGCCAGGGCTCGATGGCCTCCGGCTGGAGTCGTGGTGGTGTTAATTCGGAGGGAAACAACAGCTGGGTTCGTCCTTCTCGGCTCGGGGCTGGAGTGGGCGCCTCGGGCTGGCGTGCTCCCTCACCCGCCTCCGGCACCGCTTCAGAGGCAGCTCTAAAGGTTTAACAGAGTCGCCGCCTGCTCAGCGAGGAGACGGACAGTTGCGTTAGTGCCGGTAAGGGCCGGTGTGTGCCGGCTGGGCACCAACTGGGAACAAGCAGTGCCGCGAAAACACCTGGTGCCCAACTGTTTGAGCCACAGCCCCGCAGTGCAGGGCTCAGCTGCAGCACGAGCCGCTTCACCACCTCCAGCACCGCGTGGCTCTGCCAGCTCCGGCACCGGAGCCCCACACTTGGGCGCTGCAGCCCCTCCATCTCCTCCTGCCCCTTCCCGTGGGGCGGCTCGGCCGTTGCTTTGCCCTTCCTGGGGATGGCAGGGCAGGGCAGACCCTCTCTCAGCGGGTACTGGCACAGCCTTTGCCTCTCCGATATTGCCATAACCTGCATCACTGGGCACAGAAAGAGGAGCCGTGGTGCTCTGGGGACATCAGGACTGAGCTCACAGCGCTGGAGAATGACGCTCTTGGGTCAGGGTTTGGAGGAAGCCTCCCTGCTCAGGCTAAAGGAGGGAGTAATTCCCACGGGGAGAGCTGAGACAACCGGAGCTGCCACCCAGAGCACCCGGGGCTGCTCCTGGGCCCCTGGCCGGGCTGCGGGTAAGAGCAGGAGCAAGAGCTGAAGAAATGGGCCAACAGGAGCCTCATGGAGTTCAATGAGGAGACGTGCAAAGTCCTGCCCCTGGGGAGGAACAACCCCAGGCACCGGGATGTGCCGGGGCCGCCCGGCTGGAAAGCTGAAGCCTGACAGAAAAGGCCCCGGGGGTCCCAGTAGACACCGCGCCGACCACGAGCCAGCAACCTGGGACCGTGCAGCCCGGAGCAGAGCGCGGGCTCAGGATCTCATCCGCGTGTACGAACACCCGGAGGGAGGCTGCGGAGAGGACGGAGCCAGGCTCCTCGCAGCGGCGCCCAGGGACAGGAGCAGAGGCCGTGGGCACGCACTGACAGGCAGGAGGGTCCCTCTGAACATCAGGAAACACAGTTTCACTGTCAGCAGCTCTTTTAGGTTGACCAAAAGGATGGCTGTTTTCTTAACTTGGTGCCCCCTGCCCTAAGCAAACCCTTCTGAAATTAAATGTCTAGTTTTATTTTGGTGCTATTTAATACCTTTGAAATGACCGAGTCAGGTCAGGTCGACCTGCTGGCCACGGTTCTTGTGATGCAGCCCAGGAGACGGTTGGCTTTCTGGGCTGCAAGCGCACATTGCCGGCTCACATCCAATTTGTCACCCACCAGTGTCCCCAAGTCCTTCTCTGCAGGGCTGCCCTCAACCCATCCATCCCCAGTCTGTGCTGGTACTGGGGACTACCCCAGCCCAGGCGCAGGACCTTGCGCTTGGCCTGGTTGAACTTCGTGAGGTTCTCATGGGCCCAAATAGTTTGGGTGTTTGCTGATGTTTCTTTCTCCCTCTGTGGAGGAAGCGGCTAACCGACGTGGAGGAAGCGTTTGGGGAACGCAGAGGTGACAGCACAGGAGAGCTGCCCCATCTGCTTGTGTGGGTGGCACCAGGGGCCTCCCAAGAGCATCAGCTGATGGGCGACGTGAGCCGATGCGATGGGAAGGGCTGCCCTCCAGCCTCCGCGCCGCTGGAGAAGCTGGAAAGCCACCAGCTGAGCAAAGCCAGGGGAAGGGGCTCAGTTAGTACCAGGACTGAGGAAAAAATAACGAAGCGTAGAAAGGGCTCTGAGCATTGCTGGATGGACTGGCAGGTCTCCCGGGGTCCTGTCTCCCACCATGGTGGAAGCAGGTGCTGTAAGAGGGTGAGAACAGAGCCCATGGGAGAGATGCTCCTGGCCACGGACACCCTGAGCCATTCGTGGCTCCTGCGCGGCCGGTGATGCCCGTGCGCAGCCGAGGAGGGGTGGGAAGCAGCCCCATCCCCACGCTCCCATGTCTCCTTGCCAGGCCAGAGCTCAGCCTGCCCGGGCCCCCTCGGGTGCAGGCTGCTCCCTGCTGCCAAACCTCCCAGTTGCCCTTCTCAGGACGCTTCCACTTTGGCTCTCTCTCGTTTATATTCAAGATGCGGGCGATGAAAGGGCCTCGGCAATAGCCGAACAGTGGTCTCTCTTTTAATCTCCTTTCTTTTCCTAGTAATTCCTAGCATGTGATTTTCTTTCTCCTTTTTTTCTTGATTTTGACAGCCGCTGAGCTCTGACCTTTCCGTGGGGCCGTCTCGGGGCGCTTGGAGCCTGCTGTCTCACCTGTGAAGGCAGGGTTGATCTTCCCCATGTGCTTCACTTTCCATCAACCCACCTACGGCTGCATCTGCATTTCAGTGCTTTTCACTCAGCCTCTGAAGTCCTGCAAGACAGCCCCACCTTTGTTACC